ACCCTAAACCCCTAAACCCTACGTGCTACGGGCCCCTAGACTCCAAACCAACCAAGCAGCACCCGAGGGCGGATGGCCGTGGCTTGCCCCCGGCTTTCCGCATTGACCGCATTCATGCTCCGCTGGTGCGGGATACGTTTCTCTACAACGGCGCCTGGGCTTGCAAGAACCCTACACCTAAAACCCACACCGGATTACATGGGCCGGAAGATCCTGTATCACTTTTCTTTGAGACTACAAGTATGCCGTAGATAGTTACGAAAACCTAGTTTTATCATTGAGGCTTCTATATCCTAAACCCTAAACCCTAAACCCTAAACCCTAATACTTTAGGGGCTTCGTCACTCTTCAGGGCTGGCCGGGCTCAAAGACAGGAGCAATCAACAGTCGTTGCCAGGGATTCGCATCTTGAGCATCGAGAAGCGAGGATAACACCGGAAATTTAGCTCAGGTAGGGCCTTGTTGCTAACATGCTGTGGCACCTTTCCTTGCGACGCTGTTAACTTATCGCTTGCCCAACTCCATCAAAAAACCCTAAACCCTAAACGTTATGCTGCGCCAAAGAATTGCAAACCGGGCTGTCAGCCTCGGCTCTCGAGCACAAACATCGAGGACCCAAAAAATCTTCAACCCAGTGCACCCAAGCCCTCCCTAATTACATGGGGGGTTTCCGAAAATAGGGGACCCTAATTTAGTACCCTAAATAGTGGGGTCCTTATTATAAGGACCCCCAAAATAGGGAACCCCTAATTTTCGGAAAGTCCCTACATAAAGTCGAGAGTTGCCGTGCCCAAACCTCAGTGCCCTTTTGGACAATGCCAACCCCACAAAACAAGAAGAACCCCGAGCCCAACAAAGGTTTCCGGCCGACCAAAGGGGAGGACGGCAGAGGGTTTGCGGCAGTTGGCAATATGTTGATCTATGTGCATCACTGGTTTTGCTTGTTGTGCCATGGCAAAGGTACAAACTGCCATACCAATATCGTGAACAGCCAGAACTTCCAAAATCATCATGAGATGTATCACGCAATTATGAGTGTTTTCTTCTTTGGTAGTTTATAGCTCTGAGCGTGGTTCTGGTTTTGATGGGCAGCGGCGTCAGCTTTGGGACAGGATGTTGAGCGTCGGGGATATGATATCAGTATCACGATCGTTTTAAGGCTCTGGGTTTAGGGTTTAGGGTTTAGGGTTTAGGGTTTAGGGTAACCCTAAACCCTAAACCCTAAACCCTTCTGCTCTGTACTTCTGTGGGTTGGGGGTCCCAATTGCTTCCATACGGGGTGCCAGTGGATCTATTCTGCCGGACATAACTAAACACGCCCACCTCGCCCGGCATCCATGGCCTTTAGCAGTGCCCAGTCCGAGCACGCTCGCGACTGCTAGTTTTCCAGCACCGGCATTTTACGTGGGCAGTGCTCAAGGCCAGAGACGAGGAGGGTAGTACCTAGTCGTAGCATCATGAAGTTTTACTTGGAAAGCCCAAGTCCTTCATCTCGTAGGGTTTAGGGTTTAGGGTTCTGGGGGTTTAACGGGTGCCGCCATGGATAAGTGGAGTCGGGGCTGTTGCTATTTGCAGTGCGTCTCCCAGGGCCACAACACACAAAGTTGCATGGGATCCTGCAACAGAGCCTATAGCGACTTCTGGACTCTGCATCCTTGCACCTAGAGAGAACTCAAGCGTGCTTGAAGAAGGAACATAACATGAAAGTATACGAGGATCAGTTTTAGGTATCAGGGTTTCAGGTTTATGGTTTAGGTTTCAGGGATTACAGATTAACAAACCCAAAACCCTTAACCCAAAACCCCTAAGAACCCTTAACCCCAAACCCCTAAGAACCCTAAACCCCAAACCCCTAGAACCCTAAACGTGTGATCCTTTCTGGGCAGGACTGGCTCATTAGCTGGACCGGACCCCGGATGCGCGAGAACGTGCACAAGCTGATGCACGAGTATCAGCGACTCTTCAGAAAACTCCACGACGTTTTCAGCGTGAGGGGTTTTAGGGTCTATACCAATACCATTTTGGGGGTTCCTTATCATACCTGTAGTATATTGGGCCCCAAAACCCTATTCTAATCATTAAGGCACCAATATTAGGTGTTTCGGGCTTGTGTCTGGGGGCAGGTTTGGGATTTCGGTGAGGGTTTCTGGTGTTTTAGGAACTATCGGGTTCAGGGTGGAGGGTTTAGGGGCCTGTGAGGGTTTTGGCCCTCAAAAGAGGCATCTTCAACATGGCACTAACCTCCTCGTCTACAGAGAGAGTGCCCCAAAACCCTTCAGCCCCTGAACTCAAAAGCCTGATCTCACCCGAGCCCTAGACTTTCAACCTTTCTATCCAAGCATGGCCAGGTTTAGGGGGTGGGGGGGCTTGAGGCTAGGAAGGTTCCGGGTGTAGAGTTCCGCTGTTTAGGTTTTTGGGGTTTCATTTTGGTGGCTTACCGGAGCTGTGCTCGTGCGTCGAGGCGGGTAAATCATTTCCCTCAGTCGACAGAGCTGACGAGGACTGAGCCGGGGAGTTTGTTGGCTTTGAGTTTGGGTTTCGGGTTTAGGGTTGAGGGTTTAGGGTTTAGGGTCTAGGGTTTAGGGTTAAGCAAACCCCTAGTCAAATACACCGAATATAGGGGCCTAAATGATTACCGATTATAGTCTAACATACCCGCCCTGTAGGGTGTGTTTGGAAATTCAAGGTTTCCTTGCTGAAAATTTGCCTTTATAGTTTCTTCGAATTTAGAATTATCGCTGCTTGGTCAGACACTGCGGGAGGCCGTCCGGCAAAACTGACAAGACATGGGCTAATCAGCTCGGGAAACGAGGACGAGCGAACGAATGCAATCTTTGAGCTCGGGTTCAAGATCTTGACTTCTGCAGATATGTAGTCACGTAATTAGTCATCTGTCTCGTGTGATCACCTACAGTAGCATGCGTTGATAGACACTACAGGGTCAATGAGTTCGCGATCCGTGACTTCTCGTCCAACTACCCTCTTCACTCCCAGCACTCTGGGGGTGTTCGAAAAATTGGGATCCCTCCTTCTCTACTTGAGGATCTGCAGACTCCGTTTGCTGAAAAGCACCAGCGCATTACTATGCCATGCGAATACAGATTCTATATTCTATATACTGAATCAGGGATATCCCCTGAACAGGAAGGATCGGCTCTGGGACAACTTTCAGCGAATGTCGAAGATGGTGGGAGGCCATGCGGGTCGTGGTGTCTGATTCACGAGATTCAGGTTCAGTGTTTGGGGGGTTTCGGCAAGTTGCATGCTTCCGGTGAGTTTTGAAGCCCGTGCAGCAGAGCTCGACGGTTGAAGTATGAGCCCTAAAAGCCTGAAGCCCTGATCCCAAAACCCCAACTAAAACCCAACACCGACACCCGAACCCCAGGTCTTCCAACCAGCGCCCCAACCCCAAACCCTATATCTGGACAAACCATGTATACCTTGCCCCAAACCTCGAGCCCGAATCCATATCTTCAGATGCCGCCAGCACCACTTCAATCACCAACTACGCTTAAATAAATGGAAAATATCCAAACACCTTCATACTGGCTCTTCTAGTCCCCTTGTGGTACCAGCAGCGCTGACGCTGCAGGCGGTGCCTCCTTTGACTTCGTCCCAGAGACGTTTGTTCTGCCGCAGCAACTACGGGCCTTCAAGCAGCGCTATCTGAGCCATGGCCTACGGGGTTTATAGGGTTTTCTAGGGGCTTTTAGGATCTAGGGTTTTAGGATCCTACAGGTTTTTCGGGTTTAGGCTTTGTGTGGTTTTGATAGAGTTTAATCCAGAGATGCTAGTATTTGGGTACCAGGCTACCATTTCTCATGGTGGCGTTTAGCGGAGTTGTTTGGTGGGGGCTACTTTGCAAGGCAGGCCTTAAAGGGGGCCCTTAACACCCGAAACCCTAAACCCTAAACCCTAAACCCCCGAAGATCCGACACTTTCTAAGGAAGACCCGCGGCGAGCAGCTGTGGATTGTGAAGCCCTCGGCCTCATCGCAAGGACCGAGGGGCTTTACATCATGAAGTACTGGACGGGTTAGCTTAAGCCCCACAGGTTGCCATAGGTTTAGGGTTTAGGGTTTAGGTTCCATGAAGGGTAGACGGCAGTTTAGGAATGGTTCAGGGAAGCAGGGGGTCGATGGGGAATTTTGGTGATGCAATCTACACACCGCTATAGTTCCTCTTTTGCTTCACCAGGAATTTATGTTGAGGACCCCACAGTGAGGAAGCAAGGTGTGCAAGACGAGGACCTCCACTGGAGTGTAGGAGCGAATCCCCATAAAGCAGAAAGCCTTCAATCCCTATAACTCTACAAAGTGGCTAAAGGCCTATGAGAAGGAATCGCACCTGAGGTAAGATACCTTCAAGCGCGAAGAGAGCCAAGATAGCAGGTGAGGCATCCAGTGTTGTCCACGCTGAAAGTCATGGGATTTAGCCGTGCTGGTGCAGAGTTGATGAGATTGCTTGGAGTTTCCATGTACTGATGCCGTAGTAGCATCCAAAGCCGTCCTCAAATTATAAAGGCTTCTATACATACCAGTATGCAAGAAAGACCTTACAAGTTATGGTAGAGGGCCACATCCTAACCCAAAACCTCGAACCCCTCAGCACAAATGATCCTCCCAGTGTCTGGAGACGGCACTCTGATTTCTGTTCAGAGTACTTCCTACGGTTTTCGGAGTTGGCAGCCGTAGGGTTTTAGGATCGAGATTATAGCTAGGCCGAGTATGAACACGCATGTTTCGATAAACTAGGTAAATACATAGGTAAACAAGAACGAATAAACACCTTTGAGCATACATAAGCATTCTTTGCATATGTCTTTTCTTTTTCACGTGACTGTCTTGGTGCTGTGAAAGCTCCAAACTCCCGCCTGGTCCAACCTCGAAGCCGTTAGGCACCAAGCCAAGACTTGCAGGAAGGGGAATCTTCCTCCTCCGAAACCTCGTCGAGCTTCCAACGAAAGAGTCGGCTGCTGCCTTGGCAGTTTTTTGGGGGGGCTCGGGGGCTTCAGGGGCTCATGGTTTGGGGCCCAGCGTTTTACTTGCTACACTGTTTTAGGGCCCAGGCTGTGGAGTTTAAGGCTTAGGGTTTGTTTGGTGCTTTGTATTTGGATTTTTTTTGGTTGGGGGCTTCTGGGTCTGGGCGTTTAGTCATGGTTTAGGAGCTACGCAGAACATTCTGATATAGTACTTCTAGTAAATCCTTGAAATGTTGGATTTTGGTGAAAGGGGCACCGGGACTTCGGATTTGTTGTTTTTTCTTATGCTTCAGTTGTCGTGCAACAAGGCTGAGGGTTGTGGGGTTCAGGGTTTGGGATTTGCGGTTTCCGGTCTAAACCCTAAACCCTAAACTCTAAGCCCTAAACCGTGCATTTTCGCCTCAAGAAGTTCGGGGGTTCGAGCTTTAGTGCACTCAGGGTCCAGGGCCTTATGTCTCTTGGAGCTCTTGCTTAGGGGCCCTTACATATGGCTCCTTGGCCTTATTATTGTCTCTTGGGTTCCAGGGGTTTATGGTTAGGGGCCCTTACATAAGGGCCCTTACATCTGGCTCCTTGGCCTTCTTGTTGTCTCTTAAGCTTAGGGTGACGAGACCCTGATCTCCTGCATCGAAGACCTCCCCCACGCAAGCCCAAACGCGCATGTACTCCTCTATAGAGTCCGGCACACCTCTGAACCGCCAAAGCCTAGACCTTCTGCGTCAGCAGCTTTGGAATAATTACACCAAAACCGCTTTACAATTGGATAGGCCCGTTTAGCTTGCTTCGGAATTAGCGATTCCAGGATTGCGTTGGCATTGGGCCACCGCAGCGAGAAAAACACACAATTGTGTTCAGACAGCATTCACGGCCCACGGCAGTACATACCTAGGCACCGAGTAACGCCAAACATGAAGAAAAGGATTTAGCCTTGGAGAACCTGAGCCCTTTACAAGGCAGGACACGAAGGCAACAATGCTTGCAGCTTTTCCCCTAAACCCTAAGCTCGAAACCCTAAAAGACCCTAAACCCTAAGCTATGAACTAAGCTCGAAACCCTAGAAACCCTAAACCCTAAACCCTAAAACACCCTAAACCCTCAACTCTAAATCCTAATCGTTTCTCAGGTCGTGGTGTCCAGGTACGTCGAGAAGCCGCTGCTGATCCAAGGCAAGCCTCTGAACGTTTAAGGTTTTGGGTTAAGGGTTTAGGGTTTTGGGTTTAGGGTTTCGGGTTTTGGGTTTCGGGTTTAGGGTTTAGGGTTCAGGGTTCAGGGTTTACGGTTTAAGGCTTAGGATTCAGGGTTCAAGGTTCAGGGTT